CATTGTTAATAGAGGGGAAAGGCCAAGTGTGTGGGCAAAGAGGCAGGCAGGTTAATAGATTCTGCCTGAAAAGATTTAAAAAACAAAACTCTGGCTTGTTTCTCTTAGTGAAATTGGAGGCAAGATCCCCTGTGGGGGGAGCCTAGCTAGGGAATGTTGAGGTGTGAGAGAGATAAAATACCCCTCTGTGAGCATAAAGAAATGAATTGAGCAGGAAATTTTGGCATGCAGTAAAGTGGGATTTAAGTCAAAAAGCATCAGATGGAACCCACCGCCCCTAGAGAACCATCCGTCGCTGCAAATCCCAGTTCACGATGCAGCTGTAGGAGGATGAACATTCCTCGGCCGAGGGAGACCGCGTCGGCATGGAGAACGTGCTCGCTGTTAGACACGGAATTAGAAACTCACAGAAATACCGTGGCAGCCGGCAAGCTGGACACATCTGCCTTTGATTGGTAGAGTGGGTGGAAAACAAATAAGGAGATAGAGGAAATGGAATAAAATCAGCTGAGGTAATTAGACAGTGAACTTTGTCTTATGAAGGATGCTTTCCTGTGGTCTCTGAATTTTCTTTAATGGATGTGGCTTACTTTATAAGGGTGGACTGTAAATATTAAGGAAAAAAAAACTTGTAAAGAATAGGTTTTAGTGGGGCACCTGGGTGGCTCAATGGGTTAAAGCCTCTGCCTTTGGCTCAGGTCGCGATCCCAGGGTCCTGGGATGGAGCCCCACATCGGGCTCTCTGCTCTGCAGAGAGGCTGCTCCTCCCCGACCCCCCCCCCCCCCCCCCCCGCCTGTCTCTCTGCCTACGTGTGATCTCTGTCTAATAAATACATAAAATCTTAAAAAAAAAAAAAAAAAAAGAAAAAAAGAATAGGTTTTAGGAGCAGGTAATGCCCAGAACTGAAGTCAGGACATTGGGTTTTGCTTTTCCCTCTGTAAAATGGGCCTGCCTTCTGCCGATTTTTGAGGTTAGGGGTGAGTCCCAACTTCCACATCCCACGGAACTGCCCAGTGAGAGGGTTTAAGGGAAGCGCAGGGCTGTGCTGGTTGCTCCCACTGCCCTCTTTGGTTTTAGGTATTTGGCCTCATCAAGGGAGCCAGAGTCGGCATTGTCGTTGATGTGTCAGCCGTCAGCCGTGGCTCTCAGAAAGAGGAGTTCCAGAAGGACTTCCTGGTAAGTTTCTCAGGCAGAGAGGTACCTGGAACACCCCCTCCCCCACTCCACATACACACACCCTCCCCTTTGTGAGCTTTGTGGACCGGCTTTGTTTCTAGCAACTGCAAAATGGGGTGTTTTGCAAAGAACGGTTCACACTTCATTAGCACCTACCGTTAAGGGAATATGTCAAGTTCCTTTTCAGTTCCTGTGTGAGCTTCTAGTATTCTCACCACAAGAGTCCCTACGAACTAGACTTTGCCGCAAGAGCCCCCAGCTCCTGGAAAGAGGACTGTTGCCAGCACAGCCTGGCACTGGCCTCCTGGCCGTTTCTGGACCCAGGGCCTGTTTTGTTTTCCTTGGCATGTCCACGACAAAGAAGCCGAGAACGCTGAAGGCAGATGACTGGCCTCAAGTCCCAGCCACCTCTACCACTTCTGGGCTGTGGCCCTGCTGCCTAATCTCTCTGTGCCTCAGTTACCTCTTTTGTAAAATGCAGGTGACAACAGTGGCCACCTGCCAGGGCTGCCATAGGATGGAAGGAATTCATGCAAATTAAGTGCTCAGAAAAGAAAACCTCTGTAACCTCTGTGCACTGATGTAGGGGTGGCTCTTTTCTTATGGGAACCCCTAGAGCTCTGGATGCAAGCATTCAGACCGTTCATAGGGCTCGACATGGGCGAGTCATCCAGACTTGTCCCCCCGCTCCTGGTCTCAGCAGATGTCAGGTAACGGTGCTTCGTGACAAGTCCTCAGGGCTGACTTTCTAAAGTTCTAAAGATCTGAAGATTCCCCAGGTGGGCTTGGTCTCATATTAGCCAGGGCAAGGTCCGTGTTAGTGACGGACAGATGAAGTTGTACCTAGTCAGGAAGAAGAGGAGGAACTATGTCACATTGGATATGTCATTGGCTGCAGCTTGAGAGCATCACATAGGCTGGCGTTGTGCCCACTGTGGCATCCCCACCTCCTGTGCTATGGAGAGAAACCCCTGCCCCCAACCTCCTCCCTGGATGCCACTGTGAAGGGTCCAACTGCGGCACAGACTGAGAGAGTAGCCAAGAGGATCATCCCCACTCCTAGTCAATGACCCGAGCGTGTGGCAGCCCTAAGGAGCTGGTCCAGAAGACATCAGTCCCCAGTCACTGGGACGGAGTGAGGACACGATCTCCGAGGGCGGTCTGCCAAGCTACAGGCTCCCTGCCCACCCCCACAACACAGGCTGGGATGGGCCACCAGGGCACACTCCCATGAGACTCAGTGGGCAGGAAGCAAGTGTTGGCTTGGGGCCACTAAGCAACCCCGTCCCAGCATGGCTGACACCCCGTCCCCAGGAGCCAGCCCCAATGTGAGGAGTGAAGCCAGGCTCCACGTGGCCCACGGCTCCGGGAACCAATATGTCCTTTTGTCTTCCAGAGCCTGGTTGAGGAGCAGCTGAGCCACAAGGAGAAGCTGTATGTCCTGTCCTTCGGCTCTACCGCCAGTGCCCTCTGGCCAGAACCAGTGGAAGTCAGCTCCTCCACGTGAGTGACCTCCCGGCCTTGGCCAGGGTGTCCGCTTGTTCTTTGTCCTCCCTCCATGACGGTGTGTTTCTTGAATGAATACAGTATAGACCTGAGACCCCAACAGGTGCATGAGTACAAAGAGACAGCTCACAAAGTGGAAACATGGGGATCCGTAACCTTCAGCAAAGTGGCCGCCCTTGCGAGCCACCCACAAAATGAAAACACAAGAAAACCACAAGGCGCCATTTTTCTCTAGCCAACTAGTGAAGAGAGTTATGTTATTTTGAAAATAATGCATCTTCAAAAATCCACATGGGGGGCGCCTGGGTGGCTCAGTTGGTTAAGTGACTGCCTTCAGCTCAGGTCATGATCCTGGAGTTCCGGGATTGAGTCCCGCATCAGGCTCCCAGCTCCACGGGGAGTCTGCTTCTCCCTCTGACCTTCTCCTCGCTCATGCTCTCTCTCACTGTCTCTCTCTCTCTCAAATAAATAAATCAAATGTTAAAAAAAAAAATCCACATGGTATGAAAGTGCAAGTAAGGAGAGACTCTCTCTCACCTCCCAATATCTGTTTCTTCTCCCTACTTCCACAGTGTGTCATGTACGTGTGTCAGTATGTTTATCCTCTTTTACTGAGACAGAAATAGAAACGCATTACACTCTCTTTGCCTTGATTTGAATGTCTTCCCCCTCAGTCCACAGAGATCTGCCTCATTCCTTGTTAATGGCTGTATAATATTCCACTGTATACATGTACTATGATTTAACTATCCTTTATTTGGAAGTCTCTAGTTTGTGGGGGTTTGGGGGGGAGTTATGGGGGGACAGAGAGAAGATGTGTAACAATTTCTACTTATTCCAGTAACTAAAAATTTCTTTTCCATGAAGAAAATATCCTTAACCGCCCACCAGGTGTTCGGTGCCACGCTAAGCACTTTTCATGGGCTATCTTATTTAATTCTTATGCCAGCACATGTAATAGGATTCTTTTCCCCATTTTGCTTACGAAAAAACTGGAACTCAGGTTAAGGCACTTACCCAGAGTGACAGAGCCCAGATTGGCTACCAAAGCCCAGAGTAGATTCCTAGGAAAAAAACCCTGTATGCATTTCTGGGATGGAGGTCCCCTGGCTCAGCACTGGCTGTAAAGAGGAGCCCTTCTGGCTAGAGAAGGGCCCAGCTCCAACAGTGCTGGCTCTGCGTCCTGCTCTGACAGTTACTGGGTGGCCTTGACCCATCCTTGAACTCTCCTTACCTGAGTGAGGCCAGAGATACCTAACCATCACTCAGCTCCTGTGGACAGGAGGTGAGGTATAAGGATCTGGCAGGTGGCAGGTCCTCGGTGAGGAAAGAGGATTTTTTGCTGTGGTTTCTGCTCCTGTTAGACCCCAATCTCCAGGATGTCAGACCTAGGAGTCACCATGAGGTCACAGGCAAGAGCTTCTCACTTCAGTCATTCCTAGAGGCCATTTGTCATTTGGGTCATATCTCTGCCACATGTACTATTTTTTTTTTTTTTAAGATTTGTTTATTTATTTTAGAGACAGAGAGTGAGCATGAGTGGTGGGGGGGAGGCAGAGGGAGAGAGAGAGTCCTCAAGCAGACAGACTCCCTGCTGAGCATGGAGCCTGAACTGGGGCTCCCATGACCTGAGCTGAAATCAAGAGTCAGTGCTCAACCGACTGAGCCACCCAGGCACCGCAACCTGTACTGTTTTAAAACATCAACTCTAGGGATGCCTGAGTGGCTCAGTGGGTTGAGCTGCTGCCTTTAGCTCAGGTCATGATCCTAGGGTCCTGGGACTGAGTCTCGCATCATGCTCCTTGCTCAGTGGGGAGCCTGCTTCTCTCTGCCTCTGCCTGCTTGTGCACACTCTCTCTGACAAATAAATAAAATCTTTAAAAAAAAAATCAACTCTACGTGTATAATTGAAGGATACGCTCAGAACCATAACAAGAAGCCCGTATCACTTGCTGTAGTTAGATTGCAACCATCACAATAAATACAATGAAAGCAAATAAAACAATGATATCAAATTCCAACTTGAAACCTATCAGTCTGGAGACGACGGTCGGCCTGGGATCTGCGCTCCCTTTGTGTGGAAGGGAGCCTGAAAGGTTGTAGTAATGAAAGACAGACTTACTGGCAACAAGCTGAGATTTTTTTTGAATTTTATTTTTATTTTATCTTTACTTTTATTTTTTTCTGTCAGAAGGAAAGAAAAATGGAAAGAGCAGAGCTCTTTCACTGGTAGTGCAGGAGGTATTTCATCAAGGAAGCGCTGCGTGAAGTCGTTTTCCCTCTTAGCTCTAGGGTGTATCCCGGCCCACGCGAGAGGCAGACACGCAGCCAAGGTGCCTCCTCCAGGAGCCCTCTCGGGGTCAGGGGGTTAACTCGGCATTTGGGGGAGTGGTTGGTGGCTTGGGGTGCAGAGAAGGAGCTTAGCCCAGGACCTCTGATAGTAGGGTCGCTAGAGTCCGGCCTGGTTTGAAATCCTGGAGTTGGCCATTTGCTTACAGTATCACCTTGGGCAAGTCCGAACTCTGTTTGCACATCTATAAAATTGGAAGAAAGGGATTGCCATCAAGAATTACTGTTAGCCACCTGGGTGGCTCAGTCGGTTGAGCATCTGCCTTTGGCTCAGGTCATGATCTCAGGGTCCTGGGATCGGGCTTCCCACTCAGTGGGGAGTCTGCTTCTCCCTCTCCCTCTGCCCCTGCTCATGCTTTCTCTCTCTTTCTCAAATAAATAAATTAAACCTTAAAAAAAAGAATTATTGTTAGTCTGAAATGAGCTCATGTTTGCCCTGGGCCTGGCACCTCGGAAGAGCACTGTGGTTGGGTATTTTTCTCCTCAGCCTCCAGGAACTGAAACTCTGGGTGAAGAAGCTACAGCCTGAGGGAGGCAGCAATTTGCTACAAGCCCTGAGGAAGATCTTCACCCTGAAGGAGCTGAATTCTCTGGTGACCATCATGAGAAGCTGGTAGGTCTCATTACCTATGTGGGTAATGGACCACATGAAGGGGGCTGGAGAACCAAAGACCATCACGCAGGGCTCTACACACAGGCTTGAGAGAAAGAGTTTGTTCACAGGTCGTCCGTCCACAGGTGTTGGGCAGGGCACCCAGGTCAGACCAGGCCTGCAGTCCACTCCACCTCGCATCTTCCACAAGTGACCTGGGACACACAGGTGGTCAGTTAGATTTGGTAGATATTCCCATTTTCTCTGGAATGTCCTCAAAGTGATCTGACCTGGGGTACCCCCTTTTCCTCTTCTGTCTTCTCCCCAGCCCAGATCAGCCTTCTGAAATTCTGTCTAACTACATCCAACAGTCTACCATGGGAAGGGGCCTCATCACCCACATCATCACCTACAAATGTAATAATCAAGTCCCCCTTGTAAGTACTGAGGATTCCCCAACATTTCCCTTGGATTGGCCATAGGGATCTAACTGGGCCATCTTGGAGACTCCATGCATGGATTGCCCACCACCACCAAGCTGTGGACCAGAACATGACTCCCCTTGTACCTGCTTCTTCCTTTGGGCAGTTGGGAGGTTCAGTCAAGGAGAAGCTTATGGGAGTACTGGCATTGCCCCAATGAGGATGCTGACCCTGTCACCATCCCCACAGGCTGTCCTAAAGAACCTTGCAGAAGCTCTTGGGGGCTACTACCACTGCTACAGCCCAGAAACAGAGGTAAGCCCTTCTGCCAACATGCGGCCCCTCTCCTCCCTTCCTGCCTGCCTCCAAGGCTGTGCCTGGAGGACCTGGGCCAGGAAAGACCACACTATGTACTTGCTTCCCCTCCTTGCTGCCATATTCAATGAGTTTGCACAAGTATAATCAGGTGAAGATGAATATGGGAAAAACAGGGACAGTATGAAGTCACAGGAGATCCTTTGCTGAGCATATGTGATGAGTGGATTGCACACAAGTGAGCCTAGAGTCCTCTTAAAACCTCGGTGGTAGAATCCTGAATCTCTATCCAGCTGTCATCATCATGGGCTCTGCCTCCCACGGCTCTGCTCCCACCAAAGCTGAGTCTGAAACAGTTGCCTCTGGTCTTCCTCCAAGACACATCCCTGCTACTGCAGAGGACCCGCCGCAGTCAGTTCTGAATGAACCATCAATTCTGTACCCATCTACCCATTAGTGTCCTTGTCCCAGGTAACCATAGCATCACACACCCTGTGTCCATGATGGAGGTAATGATCAGCAAATGTGTGTGTGGAGCCATTGGCAGACTGAGATTCCAAAGCTCGCAGGATGTGTCTTGCCTGTAACCATGAATAGCCTTAAGCCAATGAATGTCTGCATTTCACAGGGGTCAAGTGTCACAAAGTCTAGCATTTCACACCAGGAGCCAAGGTCAGACAACTTTTTCCTCGGTTACTTCCCTTCTGGTTACGCCATTTCCCAGACTCTGTTGAGACCACAGATCGCAGGGGCTAGGAAGGTACAGTAAATGAATGAAACTGGCTGATTGAAGAAATCTTTTATTTTAGGGGTGCCTGGGTGGCTCGGTCTGTTAAGAGTCTGATTCTTGGTGTCGGCTCAGGTCACGACCTCAGGGTCGTGGGATGAGCCTGGTTTTGGGCTCCCTGCTGGTAAGCAGTCTGCTTCCCTCTCCCTTTCCCTCTGCCCCTCCCTCTGCTCACGCATGCTCTCACTCTCCCTCTCTAAAATAAATAAACCATCAAAAAAGAGAAATCTTTTATCTAAAAGCCTGTGGCCCTCTTAGCTTCTGTATTTCTTTTTCTTTATAAAGTTGTGAGTACAACAAAGTTCATTGTCTAATTTTAATATAAACAAAAACCCAGAAAACAGTAGAAGGATAGTGAAAAACTAAGGATAGTGAAAAACTAAGCTGATTTGGCGGGGTGGGGGTGGGGCTGTGGAGGATGAGGTAGCTCTCACCCCATCTAGAGAGACGCCTCTGCTCAGCCCCGTCCCATTCCCTTCGTTGCTCTGGAGGAGTGTGACTCCCATTCTACTAGGTCTTCCACTAGTCCAAGAGCCAGAGATCTGGATCTGTGTGTTTGTGTGACTTCTTTACCTTTTTTTTTAAATGGAGGTGAAATTCACATAACATAAAGTTACCCACTTTAAAGTGAACAATTAGTAGCACTTAGTCCATTCAAAATGTTGTGCAACCACCACTTTTATCCAGTTCCAAAATGTGTTCATCCCCCCAAAAGAAAATCCTGTACTCATTAACCCATTACTCCTCCTGTCCCCTCCCCCACACCCTCTGGAAACCACCAGCCTGCTTCCTGTCTCGGTGGATTTGCCTATTCTGGATATTTTGTATAAATAGAATCATACACCTTTTGTATCTGTTGTCTTTACATTAGTATCATGTTTTCAGGTTCATCTATGTTGTGGCCGGTCTCAGAACTTCATTCTTTTTATGGCTGATTTATTTTCTAGATCTACAACCATCTGTGTGTCCATTCTTCCATTGATGGACACTCGGGTTATCTCCACTCTTTGGTGGTTGTGAACTGCTGTGAACATTAGTATACAAGTATCTGAGTTCCCGTTTTCAATTACTTTGGGGTTATCTACCTACAAGGGGAACTGCTGGGTTATGTGGTGATTCTGTGTCTAATTCTTTGAGGAACCGCCAGTCTGTTTCCCACTAGCCATGGGCAAGTGTTCTGGTTCTCCCCATCCTCACGGCTTGTAACTGTCCTTTTATTTATTTTTTTTAAAGATTTTATTCATTTATTTGACAGAGCGAGATCACAAGTAGGCAGAGAGGCAGGCAGAGAGAGAGAGGAGGAAGCAGGCTCCCTGCCAAGCAGAGAGCCCAATGCGGGACTCGATCCCAGGACCCTGAGATCATGACCTGAGCTGAAGGCAAAGGCTTAACCCACTGAGCCACCCAGGTGCCCCTCTGTATCTTTAAGGTTAGAAAACCCTTAGTTATTTAATAACACTGCAGGGCAATACTGTAGAGATAGAACACACCAAGTTTGTAGCTCTATCCAGCACACAGACCCTAGTTTATAAAGTTGGGTATAACCAACCCACCACTCAGCTTTAGGAAGTGACCTGGCTGCTTGCCCTTTCCTGCTAGAAGCCAAGTGACCTCTAATGGCTGATTGCTCCTCCTACCCCCAGGTCTACACTAGCTGGGACACAGACCGGCTGCTGGCAGAAATCCAGAAAGCCCAGAGCCTCCTGAGCCACATCCAAGCCTTGCACCATAGGACCCCCTGTGAGGAACTAACCAACATGATGAAGGAGGTAGGTGGTGTAGGTGAAGATTCTGGAGCTGGCCTCACTGGATCCTCCTTTCTCACCCGTCTCTCTGAGAGCGTGGCTGCTGAGGCCCCCGTGCGCTGACAGAGAAGGCAAGGCCGTGCCCTCTGCTGTACCCCACAGTTCTGAGCTTGTTGGGCCTTCCACTGTGCCAAAGGATCCTGATGGATTTTCTGACTGAAAAATGTATTTCAGAGAAAGGTCAGCAGGCTCGTCCCACCCCGCCCACCTCCCACTGTCCCCTCCCGACCCCTCAATTTCGAGAAGGATGAACACCTCAGCCCCACAGAGTGGGCCATCTTGAAGATGGTCTTTGCCACCCAATGCTTCATTTGTTTATATTTTAAAAAGACGATGAATTGCTCACTCATTTACTGAGTGCTCATTCTAAGAGGCACAATGCCTAATCCTTTAAATGCCTTATTTTAGCATAACAGCAACAGTCTGCTGTAGATATATTGTTACCCCTATTTTCCTGATGAGGAATCTGAAGTCAGAGGACTAAATAGTTTGCCTCAGATCCCAGAGACAGAGACAGATGAAGTTTGAATTGAACCTGGGGTCGATCTGATGTCAAAACCTCAGCCGGGAGTTTCCCACAATGCAATGCATGTATCAGTCGTGGTTTGCATGACAGTTACAAAGTGGTACATGGATTAATTTTTTTTAATGTGTAGTTAAAACTAGCTCATATGGTAGTAATACATCTTTCTAAAATTATTTGAGTACAAAAAAGGAAGTCAGTTTTTAAAATTAACAGTTAAGCTTTACTGTTGCACATTTGGTCTATTTATTTTTAATTTATTTATTGGACAGACAGAGATCACAAGTAGGCAGAGGCAGGCAGAGAGAAAGGAGGAAAGAGGCTCCCCATTGAGCAGAGAGCCCGATGCAGGCTGATCCCAGGACCCTGAGATCATGACCTGAGCTGAAGGCAGAGGCTTCACACAGGCGCCCCTATTTTTTAAAAGATTTTATTTACTTTATTATTTTATTTATTTATTATTTATTTTATTATGTATTATTTATTTTATTTTATTTATTTTATTTATTTATTTTAAAATATTTGAGAGAGAGAGTGTGTGTGAGTGGGGGAGGGGCAGAAGGAAAGGGAAAGAATCTTAAGCAGGCTCCACACCCAGCACAGAGCTCAACATGGGGCTTAATCTCATGACCCTGAAATTATGACCTGAGCCAAAATCAAGAATTGGTTGCTCTACTGACTGAGCCACCTAAGCACCCCTAAAGATTTTGGGTTTTTTTTAAGTATTCTCTACACCCAACGTGAACCTTGAACTCACAACTCCAAGATCAAGAGTCACATGCTGTACCAACTAAGCCAGCCAGACGCCCCCATATTTGATTTATTTATCTTATTTGTTTAAATTTTTATTTATTTATTTATTTATTTATTTATTTTATTATGTTTTAAAAACATTTTAATTTTTTTTATAAACATATAACGTATTATTAGCCCCAGGGGTATAGGTCTGTGAATCACCAGGTTTACACACTTCACAGCACTCACTGTAGCACATACCCTCTTGATTTATTTTTTAAAAAATTCTAGGTGTGCCTGGCTGGCTCAGTCAGTGGAGCATGCAACTCTAGATCTTGGATTTTTGAGTTCAAGCTCCATGTTAGGTGTAGAGAATACTTAAAAGTAAAATCTTTGGGGCGCCTGGGTGGCTCAGCAGATTAAGCCTCTGCCTTCAGCTCAGGTCATGATCTCAGGGTCCTGGGATTGAGTCCCGCATTGGGCTCTCTGCTCAGCGGGGAGCCTGCTTCCTCCTCTCTTTGCCTGCCTCTCTGCCTACTTGTGATCTCTCTCTCTGTGTCAAATAAATAAATAAAATCTTAAAAAAAAAAAAATAAAATCTTTACAGACAGTTGGGCGGCTCAGTCAGTTGAGCATCTGGTTCTGGATTTTGTTTCATATCATGATCTTAGGGTCATGGGATCGGGCCCTGCATTGAGTTTCCTACTCAGCACAGAGTCTGCTTTTCCCCCTCCCTCTGCTTCTCCCCCCATTCTTTCTCTCTCTCTCTCTCTCAAATAAATAAATAAAATCTTTAAAAACAAAAATAAAATATTTTTTAAAATTCTAAATAATAGTACAGTGGTACTCAGATTTAGAAAAATTCATGAAGGAGGTACTCAAATATCTAAAATTTGGGAATTGCTGTTCTATGTCTTATTTAAACGTGAGTTATGATTTAACATCTCAGAACCTCAGGCCTTCAGTTTGTAAATGTGGGTGCAGGAAGGCTGGGCTAGACCAGGGCTTCTGAAATGATCTGGTGTAGGAGTTACTTTTTACTTTGAAGCCTTGTGTTAGGAGTTCATGGAGAGGCCACCACCATCTCGGAGCCCAAAGTGCTGATCTTGATGGTAAGGGTGGGGAAGGGGCAGGAGGATGGACAAATCAAAGAGGAAGCAAGTTGCTGGGGACATCTCCTTCTTACCCTGGAAATTTCAACAACCTCCAGGAAAGGGGATGGGGATGGTGGGAGGGGACAGCAGAATTGCCTTTAATTTACCAGGTCATGTTTTCGGATGTTCCATTTAGGGGAACTGGGTGGGCTGGGTAGACTAAGGACTTCTCAACTCTAAAATACGATTTTGTAATAAGGGCTTTTAAATTTAATTTAGATTTCCACAGAGATTGCAAAAGGGCCACTCACAGGTCTCTTGCCTAAACCACCAAAGCATGAGGGTCCCCTCACAATTGAGTTCCCAAACTTGGACAAGACTTCTGCAGAATGGCTAAAGATCAATGGCCTAAAAGGTAAGTCCCCAAAGAGGGCAGAACCCAGGACTCAGGTGACTGATGAAAAGGCATAACCCCTCTGGGGCTCTAAGAGCTGTATCTCAAACTCCCACTGTTTATTTTTACAGCCAAAAAGCTAAGCCTTTATCAGGTTCTGGCACCCAATGCATTCTCTCCTGTGGAGGAATTTGTGCCCATTCTCCAGAAAACTGTCTCTTCAACTATCCATGAGGTAACTCAAATTCAGAGTTCTTTCTGGTCTTCTGCAGGGGGCTCCTCTGTGACCTTTCCCTTCTTAAATATTCAGGAAAGGAGAGTCATAAGTCAGAGCACGAGGAGCCTGGGTCTGAGGGCTTGGAGTGGGATGCAGGCTTTCCAGAACTTTCTAGAACTCTCATCACATCTACTCTAATGGCTGTTTTGCAAAGATTGAAACCGAATCTGGAAGATGGGGCAAGAGGGAGCAATCAGGGATAAGGGAGCAAGTCACCTCCTCCTTGAAGGTTTTCCTCCATGCACTCTGAACACACTCACTCCCCTTGTGTCCTCACTGCACCTGGTACAGACTTCTGTCCTAGCTCCTATAATGTGTTAACGTGTGTACTTATTGCATGTCTAAACCCCCACTAGAGTAGGAGCCTTTAAAAGAACAAACTGTCTTCTCCAACCTTGTATCCCTAGTACCTAGTACAAGCAAGCAGCCAATGAATGTTTCCCAGACAGCTGACTGGGTGGAAGGAAAGACATAAACATAAACATAAACATAAACATAAACATAAACATATGGAACTATGGAGAGGGGAAAAAATGGAAGGATCAGTGACAGAATAGAATAGAAGAGGATGGAAGGATGGAGAAATGGAAGGTGGGCATAATAGGTGAAGAGAGAGCTCAATGGAAAGATGGAAGAACCAAAGAGAACAGGGATGGATAATAGTAGCAGCAGACTGATGAGGGACTCAGTGGGTAGATATGACAACTTGGTGGAAGATGAAAAATTAGATTTTCCAAGTGTCCATGAAGGTTTATCCGGGTTCTCAAACCTAAGAATCCATGGCCAATATGTTGAAGGTCTCCCGACTCTGCTACTCCAAAACCAACTGTATCTTGTATCAAGACTCTGATGTTTGGAAGACCCTCCCCAGAAGGCAGCCTGGCTTGCTGTCAGGAATGGTGCATTCTGGGACCACGGTCCTCAAGGCCTTCTGCTGCCATGACCAGGGAGGCATAACCTGATGCCAGATATGCTTGAAGCCCATTTCCCTCTCACACATCTGATTTTGAGAGCCCAGTGCCCAAATTAAATGTATAATCCTTTCCTGTATGTGCCCATCCTGGCCACACCTGAGTGCAGAAGGCAATGGTACAATTTGAATGGCATGACGGGACAGTGAAGAATGTTCACGTGGACCCACCCTTCCTCTATGAGTACCAGGTTAGTAATGGGTCCAGTTGGTCAGTGCATGGGGTTTGGGAAGAGGGGACAGGTGGAAGGTGCCATGGAATGTGGAGACAGCAAGCCATTGACCAAACTCCCTCTTATAAACAGACTGTGCTCTGCCTCCAGGTGCCTCTGGAACTTTCTCCACCTGCTCCCCAGGCAGGGACCTGTCAAACAAACAGGAGTCTTTAATCTTTTGGGGGCAAGATCTACTTCCTTTCCCATTCCAGGCAATTAAATATGTGGACTGTTGTCTTCCTGGTCTTGTGACAGATTCACCCAGGATTCAGTGGAATGTTTATACTGCCTGGATACCCATGGTCCCATCCTCAGAAGCCAACCTTCCCCCACAGACCCCTTAACCGGCCATCCTCTTTGGCCCGTTGCTCACTCTGTGTGGCCCATGTTTCTGTTGCAGAAACAGCTCAGCAGAGCTCTTCGGACATATGAGAGACGGATCGAGTGGCTCTCCCTGGCCAGCCGAAGAATCTGGGGCACCGTCTGCGAAAAAAGGTACCTTCTCTCAAGTAGTGTTCTTGTGTTCTTGTCCTTTGTGAGTCCCATGTGTGACATAAGCACTTATCCAACTCATGAATTCCCTCTTAGTAACATCAGAAACCATCCCTTAGATTAAGGATCAACGATCACTCAGTAGAACCCTTGAGGAAAAAGTCACCACTACCATCATCAATATCAATACTGTCATCATTGTGTTACTCAGGATTCTTTCAGTTAAAAAGCAACCGAAACTAAATGCCAATTGGCTTAAACAAAACAGGGAGGTCTGGTTGAAGGTAACTGAAAATTCTCAAATAGATTTTTTTTTTAAGATTTTATTTATTTATTTGACAGAGGGAGATCACAAGCAGGTAGAGAGGCAAGCAGAGAGAGAGGGGAGGAAGCAGGCTCCCTGCTGAGCAGAGAGCCCGATGCGGGGCTCGATCCCAGGACCCTGAGATCATGACCTGAGCCGAAGGCAGTGGCTTAACCCACTGAGCCACCCAGGCGCCCCCTCAAATAGATTTGATCGCTGTCTTCAGGCACGGCTCCATCCAGGGGTTCGTGCGTATCAACAATGTATCTCCATCTCTCAGCTCCGCCTCCTTCACTGTTGGCTCTGTTGTCAGGCAGGCTTTCCCTTCCTCATAGCAGGATAGCCACCTGAGCTCCGTACTTACCTTCTACCAGGTTAGCTCTCCCAGGGCTTGGGGCAGGACCCGTCCAGGAGCTAATCTCTGCTGGTCTGGAAGGTAGGATGTTCTAATTGCCTAATGTCAAATGCCCACCCTTCAAGCTTGGTGTGGGTCTGTTCCACCCAAATCAAAAGGACTGACAGAGGCAGAGGAGTTTTTCAAAGGGAAATCAGGGTGCTGTTGTGAGGGGACGTGCTGGATCCTGAGCAGGGAGAAAGACCTAGAACCGTTCATAGCATCCTGACCATTCCATACCTTATTGGATGCATTACCACAAACAAAGCACCGTACTATTCTACCATTTAATTCTCAACAGTTCATAGTTGAATAGGCCAAGGACCAGAGAGGTTTTGTGACTTGCCTAAGTCACACAGGAAGTGGGACCTGAACCAAGATCTTCTGACTCTACATCCAGTAGATTTTCTTCTGCCATTGATAATTGCTGTCTTGTGCTCACTTTGGCAGCACATACGCTTAAAAATAAATAAATAAATAAATAGAACCATACTTGCTCTCTCAAAATGAGAGTGGAGGGTGGAGCTGGGAATTGATTTGAAGTAGGAAAGAAGGCCAGATGGGACTAGGGATTTTAAAAGAGAGAGAAGAAACAAAAAGATACATTTCTTTCCCCAGAGGCCCAGATACACCAAATTCCCCATCTCATTTCCTTACCTTGTTTCTGTTTCCCCTCCTGAGCCCCCAGCCTATGATAATAGTGAATGCTGGTGCTTTAAAACAGGGGATGTGTGTGAAAATCATTCTAGGCAGCCCCCTGGCCCTTAAACCATCTCCGCCATGCGACTTTACTCCACACTGGAAGCCCCTGGGGAGAGAAGCTTCCACGACCCCCTTCGTCTACCGTTGTAAACCCACTCCCCTTGACCTCACACCACAGAGAAGATTTTGGCCAGCTGTTGAGTCTGGCATGTGAAAACTCCCCTGGAAAGAACCTTAAATAGTAAAATGGAACAAAACAAACATTATCTGAGAGATTCGGTTCTCCTCATAAAGCTTGTGTTTCTTTTCAGGGTGGTTATACTGCTGGATATCTCTGTGACCAATTCCATGTACATTATTCATATCCAGCACTCCCTGCGGCTTTTGCTGGAGGAGCAGTTGTCCAACAAAGACTGCTTCAACATCATTGCGTAAGCTCCTCACTCCTGGGGGGAGGGGGTGCTGGGGGCAAGGGTCACGTATGCTCCCTGCCATCGTGCCATCGCAGGGCGGAGGTTCCTGGCGGGTAGCTAGATGACATCTCACCAGCACCCAGCATCCCAGGATGACCATCAGCTTATCTGACTCGAGTCATCTCGTTTGGGGGTATTGAATAATTAAATGGCTGCAGGACAGTCTCACTGGGCGAAGGTGATAAGTGGCCCCCAAACACGCTGCTCCATCAGCCAAGATAAAGTAACTCAGCCCATTGCCCCATTTGGATTCTGAGCTGATAAACACAAAAGAGCAAAAGAAGGGCCCCTGGGTATGCCCCAGTGTTACGTCCCAGTTCAGGACTGACTAGCAAGCTGCAGTATGTCAAGCATTGAAGATTCCAATTCCAGGGGCGCCTGGGTGGCTCAGTGGGTTAAAGCCTCTGCCTTCGGCTCAGGTCATGATCCCAGGGTCCTGGGATTGAGCCCTGCATCATCGGGCTCTCTGCTCAGTGGGGAGCCTGCTTCGCACCCCCCCCCCCGCTGCCTGCCTCTCTGCCTGCTTGTGATCTCTATCAAATAAATAAATAAAATCTTAAAAAAAAAAAAGATTCCAATTCCAAATGCAATTATATGGATTTCTATATATAACTAGATATATTTAAGTTATGTTTTACTATAAAATACATATAAGTTATATGTATTTAAAGTATATATTTTACATATAAATAATTTGGTACATATGTTTAAAATAAAAACGTTGCATATAGAATATATATTTTAAAAATCATGTCTAACAGGGCCACCTGGGTGGCTCAGTCAGGGGAGCATGCAACTCTGGATCTTGGGGTTGTGAGTTCAAGCCCCACACTGGATGTAGATATTACTTAAAAATAAAATCTTAATTAAATAATGTATATATGTGTGTGTGTGTATGTATATATACCCACACATATCTATAATAAGAATGTATCATAATGTATCTAATCCATATCTTCATGATTTCTGTGAGGCATTGGTGATCACAACCCTCTTGCATTATCACCTCAGATCTTGGTGATATTTAGCCAGTAATAATCTGTCAATAATGGAATTATGATTGCTGAATTTTGTTTGCTAGAATTTTATATAAAATGTATTATTGATTCCTGTGCAACACACCTATGATTTTCTTAGTTCTTTTTTACCAGATTTTAAATAAATTTTGTGGAAAAATAAAAAAAATTATGTAAGTATATATTTAAATTATATATAATTATATATCATATATTTAAATCTTGTACTATATATAGTTATATATAACTTATATATAGTTGCCTATAATTTAAATATATATAGTTTCATATATTCTAATGGCATGCCTTTTCCAAAATTAGGGACGAAAGAAAAGGAACCCACTTATAAGATTTATTTATTTGGGGCATCTATAAAAAAGATTTATTTATTTATTTGTAGCTCAGTCGGTTGAGTGTCTGCCTTCAGCTCAGGTCATGATCCCAGGGTCCTGGGATCAAGCTCCACGTTGGGCTCTCTGCTCAGTGGGGGACTTGCTTCTTCCTCTCCCTCTCCCTCTGTCTCTCTTCCCAGATTGTGCTGTGCTGTGCTCTCGCTCGCTCTCTCAAATAAATAAATAAAAACTTTAAAAAAAATTTATTTATTTATTTTAGAGAGAGTATGAGTGTGGGGAGGGATGAAAGGAGAGGGAGAAAGAATCTCAAGCAGACTCCCCACTGAGCACAGAGCCCGACATGGGGCTCGACCTCATGACCCCAAGATCATGACCTGAGCTGAAGCCGAGAGTCAGACACTCCACCAACTGGGCCACCCCAGACTATACATTTTCAATCATATTGATTCATATCAATAGGGAGTATTTTAAAACTATTAAGTTAGCAGTTAATATTAAATATTATTCTGTACCAGAGTCTCATCTTTTTCTGATACATTCTACAGAAAAAACAATGCTTAGAGAAATATTTTTGGCAAAGTTTCATTCATTTACCCATCCATTAATTCATTCAGTGAACTTTTATCAAAACCTGCCATGTACCAATCACTGCACTGGGGATACAGAAGTGAGTATGCACAGTACCTGTCCTCAAGGAGCTTAGGGCCTACTAGAGGGAGACAAGCCTCTTAAGAAATAAGGGTTATTAACTGCTTTCTGCAGAAATAGGCAGAAGGCAAGATCAGACTATCCTGCCTGAGCATAGGGAGGTCAGAAAGTCTTCACAGAGACACCCAGGTGGCTCAGCGGGTTAGGCATCTGACTCTTAGTTTTGGCTCAGGTCATGATCTCAGGGCCGTGAGATAGAGCCCTGCCTTGGGCTCCACGCTGGGTGTGGAGCTTGCTTAAGATTCTCTCTCTCCAAGGGACGCCTGGGTGGCTCAGTTGGTTAAGCAGCTGCCTTCGGCTCAGGTCATGGTCCCGGCGTCGTGGGATCGAGTCCCACATCGGGCTCCTTGTTCTGTGGGGAGCCTGCTTCTCCCTCTGCCTCTGCCTGCCACTCTGTCTGCCTGTGCTCGCTCTCTCTCTCTCTCTCTGACAAATAAATAAAAAAATCTTAAAAAAAAAAAAAAAAAGATTCTCTCTCTCCCTCTTTTGTTTCCCTCTGACCCTCCCCCACTGACCCATGCTTGCTCACTCTCTCTTTCTCAAATAAGTAAATAAAATCTTAAAGAAAAGAAAAACTCTTCACAGAGGAGGTGATCCTTTCACTGAGTCTTGCCAAATGAGTAGGTGTTTACCTAGCTCATGGGAATGATGGAGGCAGTGGGGAGGAAAGGCATTTTATTTATTTTTTAAACTTTTTTTAAAGATTTTATTTATTTATTAGACACAGAGAGAGAGATCACAAGTAGACAGAGAGGCAGGCAGTTGGGGGGGTGCAGGCCCCCCCGCCAAGCAGAAAGCCCGATGCGGAGCTCGATCCCAGGACCCCGAGATCATGACCTGAGCCAAAGGCGGAGGCCTAACCCACTGAGGCACCGAGGCACCCAGGAAAGGCATTTTAGGTAAAGAAAGCAACAGGGGGTACAGAAGTGTTGGAGCTATGGGACACAGACTCTGGAACTTTGGGGGACCATCAGGGAGTTCAATAAGTGAGAAAGAGAGATGGTACATGTCAAAATAAAACAGATGATGGAGGGTTTATATGTATAGGATGTGAGCTTTTATGCTATAGGACATATAGGCATCAGAGGATTTGAAGCACGGCAATAACATGATCAGATCTTGAATGCGCAGTCATGGCATGAAGGATATATTTAAGGGGGTGACCCTGGAGGGATGGAGGCCATTGGGACCGCTCAGTGGTCTGCACTAGCAGGGAATAGGCTTGAGCGGCCATGGGGATGGAAGAAGGGATGCACGGGAGAGGTGTAGGAGAGCTAGAATCCACAACACGAGTTACCATTTGGCTGTAGGATGTGAGAACAGTGAAGAGAAGATGTCCCAGAGGGAAGAGATCTTGGAAGAAGTTGATTTTAATCCTGTAGAACTGGAGATTTTCAAGAGGAGTTTCTAGAGCCGTAGGGAGCCCAATGAGGAATTCCTGTCAGGACATACCAGTTTCGGAGCCACCGACATTCTGGTTATGTGGTTGAGAAGGGCATGAAGTGTACCTGTGGAGACGGGAAGGGAGGAGAAGACATCCGAAGGCAGAACTGGCAAGGCTCTGATGTCTGGAGGGTGGGCAGAGGAAGAGAAACACCAAAGGAAGAGGAGAGCGGAGCAGCGGGAGGAAAACGAGGAGAGGATGGTTCAAGAAGCCACAGCTCAGAGAGGAACAGAGTCTGATCCTGCAGAAGCAAAGCAGAAGGGGACGAACAAAGGAATCCACTCAATTTAGCAGTAGAGTTCACTGATAACAAAACAATGAAATATAATTTTTTTTTTTTCAATTCAGTTTGGGAACCGAATATTTAAAATTTTCAAAATAACAAACACTGCCCAGTGCTGGTGATAATGTGATGCTCTACCCAACGGCCAAGGTCCCCCTACACTTTCTGTTTTTTTTTTAATCCAATAGAATATAAAGTTAACAGAACTTTTTCTGGGGAATAAAATTGGAGGAATTTTTACCCTCCAGATGTTGTTAGAATTTTTATCAAACTGTAGTAGAAGATTTATTATCCAACCACAATAGATATTTTCATGAGAGGGGGAAGGAGGTCATTGTTAATATTTGCCAGAGAACCTACCAGATGCTTGACTGCCGTGGGTTTCGGAGGAAGGAAAAGCTGAGGAGGTGGTGGGACATTGTTTTTCCAGGGAGCTGGTCTGGACACGGGAAAGAGAAGTGGCTAATGGAGTGGACCCTGGAAGAAAGAGGAAGTTATTTTTAAGAATGGACAGACTTAAACATGTGCAGAGACAGTGGGGCAGAGGGGAGTAGAGAAAAGTAGGGGGTGAGTGGGGGGAAGGAGGTATCTGTGGGCAGAGTCTCAGAAGGCCAGGTGGACGAATTCATCTTGAGCCAGAGAGGGGGGACATCCTTTCTTTGATAAAGAGGATCAGTCCTCTTTTCAAGGATTTAAATTCTACCTCAGAGAAATGAGATGATGTGGGGTTTTTTGTTTTTGTTTTTGTCTTTAAAGATTTATTTATTTGACAGACAGAGACCACAAGTAGGCAGAGAGGCAGGCAGAGAGAGAGGGGGAAGCAGGCTTCCTGCTGAGCAGAGAGCCCGACGTGGGGCTCGATCCCAGGACCCTGGGATCATGACCCGAGCCAAAGGCAGGGGCCTTAACCCACTGAGCCACCCAGGAGCCCCGGTTTTTGCTTTTTAATTAATTAAGAACTATAGGGGCACCTAGGTGGCTCAGTCAGTTAAGCATCTAACTTTAGCTCAGGTCGTGATCTCGGGGTCCTGGGATCGAGCCCCCTGTCGGGCTCCCTGCTCAACAGTGATCTGCTTCTCCCTCTCCCTGTTCTCTTTGCCTTCCCTGGCTCGTGTGCGTGCTTGCTCTCAAATAAATATGTAAAGTCTTAAAAAACAAACAAACAAAAAACTATAGTACAGACAGAGTAAAAAAACTGAGTTGTGCAGCTGAATCAGGTCTAGGGGAATTTAAAATGGGCCAATGACTCCCTCCTTTGAGGGATGGGGAAGTCAGAAATCTGGCCAGAGCTGTTCCTGGCTCTGAGTCTTGAGACCCCCAGCTCTGCTCGCACTGCAAATGTACCGTGACACATTTGTCACATACGTGACAGGCAAGGAAATCTTGTGGCTGATCCAGGCCAGTGACATCCTAACATTTTGGGGTGTAATCAGAATTTTGTCCCCCTAAAAGCATGGGGATCCCAAAGACCTGGGGTGTAGCATGGATATATCTCTTGCTTAAGAACACATTCTCTTTTCTTCCCTCCCAAGATTTGGAAGTACAATTGAAAGCTGGAGGCCTGAGATGGTTGCCGTGAGCCACGAAAACCTACAAAGCGCCTGGCGGTAGGTGACCATCCGAGACTGCTCCTGCTGTGTCTGAGGGCAGCCTCTGTGGTGCCATTTGCTCTGTCCCTCTCTCTGGCAGAATCCCCACCCTCCCCCTCTGGGGCCTCGGGCTGGCCTCCCTCAGCTGGCCCCCCTCAGCTGGTCCCCCTCAGCTGGCCCCCCTCATTTGGCCTCCTTCAGCTGGTCCCCCTCAGCTGGCCCCCCTCAGCTGGCCTCCCTCAGCTGGCCTCCTCAGCTGGCCTCCTCAGCTGGCCCCCCTCAGTTGGCCTCCTCAGCTGGCCTCCCTCAGCTGGCCTCCTCAGCTGGCCTCCTCAGCTGGCCCCCTCAGTTGGCCTCCTCAGCTGGCCTCCCTCAGCTGGCCTCCTCAGCTGGCCTCCTCAGC